AACTACTAATGAAGATCGAACTACTGCTAGGAAGTCCCACCAGGATTTATTATAGATGGTCTCTATCTTAATAACATGATACGCAGATGAAACTACGTTGATAGCAGATACAGTGAGAAAACTGCACGAACTCCTAGATAAGATAGGTAAAGAAAGCTGGAAGAAAGGAGTAAGCATCAATTGTAAAAAGACAGAATGGAAAATAGTCAGTAAATGCTCAAGATTCAAGCTACGAATTGGAGATGGCAAAATCAAGCATGCGTAAAGAAACTTAACTATCTAGGAAGTTTTTTTAACAGATGACGGGAAATGTGACACAGAAATCCGAAGACATATTAGAATAGGGAAAGATGTCTTTCAAAAGCTAAACAAAATAGAAAAATGTCGTTAGAAACAAATAAAATGTGTTTAACTGTTAAATGATATCAATTCTATGATATGAAAGTGAACGTTGAACAATTTCTTCACAGCTTCAATCTCTTTCCCATGTCTCCTTTCTATAAATACTTTCATGATACTTGTTTGGATGAACTCTTCGCTATCCCCTCCCTCGTTAGGTGGTCAGTGATGTCGGTTTTCTAGTGAATACAGGGTGCATTTTGTTTCGGGTGTGGATTTCGTATTTGTTGTGTATTTGAGTGACTGCATGTGATTAATGCATGTTTTACATTATTAAAGTCCCGCATTCATTTTGTCCAGTTAACTGATGTTTCTGCCACATTTAAGGATTGTGGGGTTTTTATTTTGTTTAGTTTCTTGTATATAGTTTTTTCTTTTTTGTAAATATTTATTGGTGTTTAGATTTCTAAATTGTTATCTTATTCCCCTCCCCACACAGGCAAGGAATTGTACATAAGGGGACTAGTTAGGACTCTCATAGAGACAATGAGATACTATGGTGGATGTAGTAAAAAAGGTAGGTAAGAATTGGTTGTTGTGGTGTAATGAATATTGTTGTATGTTTGGGTCAGTGTTTGCGGCTAGCTAAGATTAACGTTAAGACAGAACAAGACCGTCCTTTTCATCATTATCCCTTTTTGACTTTGTGCAGCATTTTCTATAAAAATACAAATAAATATCACTCTTCGCTATGATACCTAGACTTTTTGAATTTAAGCGCATTACTAGACTGGCGTCGAGATCTCATCAATTTAGAGTTGAGTTGGCTAGATCTAACCATAAGTTCTATGCTAACAGTCTCTTTTCTCGCACTTCTCGCTTGTGGAACTCCCTTCTCGCTCTATGCTTTCCAGTCAACTTTAATCTTCAAACATTTAAATGCGATGTCAACCGCTGTCTACAGCCCTTCTGATTCTTCTTCCTTTGTTCTCGATTCTTGGTAATGTTTCTGTCTCTAACTCTTCCACGCCCAGTAATCCCCTGTGTCTTAGTGGGCTTAACGCCTTGCTCGGGGTGAAATTGATTTTAAAAAAGATGAGTAGATAGAATTGAGGCAACAGAGATGTGGCGACACAGAAAGATACTGATGCCATACTAGGAACATATGTGAAACAAAAGGGTTTTCAGGAAAATGGAAATGAAATAGACACTTGCAATCACAAAGAGACAGTTGAAATGTCTGGGACACATAATGAAGAAAGAACGCTTGGGGAACTTGGCACTTACATAACATAGAGAGACAGAGGGAAATATCGAGTAACTTAGCTGTGTAAGTGGATAGTAGAAAAGTAACTGAGAGAGATGGTAAGAGACAAATGCTACTAAGGGTTACAATTAATAGGAGAGCCATGATCGTTCACATCTTGAAAGGACAGGACACCTAATTTAGGTAATATGATTTGGTTCTCTCTGATAAGTACTAAGACTTAATGAATATATTTATAAATACTGTTAAAATTCAACTTCTGTCTTTTCACTAATTTACATCTAATTATAAATAAATTTTTATCTGGTTACTCTACGAGTGCAGCTGGTACCAGGATACTGCCAAACTAAGTCGATTCTTCCTCCAGACTTTTATGGTGAGGAGAGTGACGATAATGATTAAAAACACGACCTGTTGAACGGCGGATGAAACTAGCACAATGGCGGGTAGGCTGGGCTCTGTAGCTATAGCGGCAGTCAGTGCTGTGTGGAAATGGCGTCGCAGGTGGCTTCCAAGACTTAATCCAACAGTTAAGGCAGAGAATTTGACCGAGTGAATCAACGGCTACGTGTCCGTTACCAAGGTGTGCCTTCCAGTTGGAGGAAATCGGCTGTGGTGTAAGCTGGAGAGGGATGGGCTCCGTCAGGTCTGCTTGCATAAGAGATGCTACACATGAATAAATACATCTCCGTTTTACTATCCAGATATATAACGAGATATTGACAGGCATTCAGGTGCACAGCCACCCTACGACCACAGGTCTACGGTCATAGGACGGATTTTCTGTCCTCTGTTAAGACACTTCCTCGATATTTAATTTTTCCTACTTGCTTGATTTTGGCATCTCCAATCTGTGATTCGCATGTTAGAGTATTCTTTTTACTGACAACCATAAATTCTGTTTTCTGTGTCATCTGCATATATAATGTTGTTAAATTTTGGCCCCAATAATGAATCCAGGTAGAAATTTCAATTCTCCCCAAATCACCTCACTGTATAGGTCGAATAAATCTGGTGATAAAAAACATCCTTTTCTTAAACCCTTTTCTGTTTATGTATATTTACCGAATTCATTTTCTATCCATATGCAGACGGCTTGTTTCCTGTATGAGTTGTAGATTATTGTAATGTTTTTCACAAACAAATGAAGCTTAACTAACAGTTCCAACAGTTCATTGGGATATTCTTTACTATTGCATTTGAATTGCTCTTCCTGATGTCATTCTGAACATAAATACAGCATTCCTTGTTCGAATGTCTTTAAGGAATCCGAACTGTTATTGTCCTAATTTCAGTAGCTTCCACAAATACACTAACCGACTGTTCATTTATTGCTTTTTTGTTTTGCGAAATTCATGTTTTACACACACACACACACATACATATATATATATATATATATATATATATATATATATATATATATTTTTAAATATTTAAAACTATATATAATACACTACGTTGATTGCACAACTCGGAGTTTCATGCCATTTGCAATCTTGCTCGTGCATTTAACTATATTTATCGATATGAACGCTCTTAATTAAATGAATTGAGCACTACGGCTGTCTGGCTTTTGTCTACTTTCGTAAAAAATATACAATAGAATTTCAAGCTCAGGTGTTGAAAATCCGACGGACGTCAAATCGGTCGGGTTTCGATCCCGGCTTGAAATAATCGGATGTCTAGCCGCATTGATGAGCTGTGGATACAGCGAAACAGGCCTGCATGTGGATGACCCACATATATGTGTAATGTTTGTAGATTTCTGCATTATTTTTGTATTTATTGCAGTTGGCATAATTTTTAACATATTTTTTCATTTGTTTACTATTAATCCTCCATTTCATAATATATTGAACAATTTATTTACAAGAACTGATTGTATTAAAATCGTAATACTCCAGAAATACACCGATGGATTTGGGGGCGAGGGAATAAAATATTTGTTGTTGTCATTATTATCATTATTGTTGTTGTTAATTAGTATGTGTATTTGTGATGAGAAATTGATAGACAGATGCACGTATTTGAATATGCATAAATACGCAATAATCCCTGTATATACTTGATACAATATATGCACAAAGGCATAATTAATACAAATACGCACACATACACAGATATATATATATATATATATATATATATTTATGTTTAACGTTGTTATTTTATAGATACAAGTATTTAAGCAAATGCTCTGTTTATGATAAACAGTATTAAATAACATTTACCGGCCTGAATGTCCGAGAAATTTTCATAGAAAATATTCGTTCATAGACAGGATTCGAACCTGCATCCTATACGGAACCGTCATATACGCTGACGTGCCTTAACCACTCGGCCACCATGAACCTTATGGTAGACAAGGTCGAATTTACTGTTATAAACTACAATCTTCCATGAATCTCGTACATTCATAACTGCTCTGGCGTATCGAATGACGTCATATGTTAAGAAAATGGACGAGGTCCGACAATTTATTTATTAAAGACATTTTTATTTATTAAAGACATTTTATTCATGGTGGCCGAGTGGTTAAGGCACGTCAGCGTATATGACGGTTCCGTATAGGATGCAGGTTCGAATCCTGTCTATGAACGAATATTTTCTATGAAAATTTCTCGGACATTCAGGCCGGTAAATGTTATTTAATACTGTTTATCATAAACAGAGCATTTGCTTAAATACTTGTATCTATAAAATAACAACGTTAAACATAAATAAAAATGTCTTTAATAAATAAATTGTCGGACCTCGTCCATTTTCTTAACTATATATATATATATATATATATATATATATATGCATACATACACACACACACACATATATGTATATAAATGGAAACATATACATTAAAATAAGCTTTTCAAGGGGTGTATATTTATGCATGTGTGTGTTAACACCCACACGAAGACACACACACACACACACACACACACACACACACACACATATATATATATATATATATATATATATGACCTTGAATGTCTTTGGGAAATGGCAAAATAATGCAAAGGAAGATATTCAGGAACAGATAGCGATAGATATCTTCCCATGTTTCCGAATGCGTTCAAATTCCTTCCTTCACACTCACCATTTCTTTTCTTTGGCATGTCTTTTAGGAGCCTGTCCATTTCCTACCCGGTCGACCATCTACTTAAAAGCCTTCTGCCGGGATCTCTTCCTCCAACTAAAAACCCTTAACCTTTTTCTTTCTTCACCTATTTTCAGTTTTTCTCCTATCAATTCCATTTTAAGGGTAGCACTGGTCACACATCGAAAGCTTCCTTTGTGCTTTGGTCTTAGACCACTAATGGCCAACCGTAAAAAATGCTACAAATTCCACCCACCTCACTCTAGTATACAACGTGCGAAGTGCACGGACTAGAAACCGGAAGTGAAACGGCAAGATAATCATGAGTGGTCAGCACGCCTACCGGAAGTGACCCTTCATTTGATAATCGAACCGTGCACCGATGAGCAACGCTAAAGAGAAACGATATCGAAGGAGGAGGGAAAAATTCTAGATGAATATTCCTAAAAGAAAAAAGGACAAAATCAGTGATTACAGAAGAAGTAACTTTTGAAGAAACCTGAAGACGATAAGAGTTTGATAGAACAAGAGACTGCAGTGCAAAGAAGAAGAAGGAGGGGGCAATAAATCGAAAGAAACGTAAACTAAGAAGGAATCGACAAGAATATAAAAAGAAAACAAAATAAAAAAGGGAAAAAGAGATATACAAGAAGAAAAGAAATAGAGATTGTAACATAAAAAAAAATGAGACATGCAAATATAGAAATTAAAAGATATAAAAGAGGGCAGAAAAAGTAGAAGAGCAGTTGAGAAATATACCGCAAAGCAGTTCGAGAAATGGAAAAATAAAGCAAATAGAGAAGATAGTCACTGGGATATGAGCATGAAGAAGATGGAGAAGGAGAGAAAGCCTTCAAGAACGTAGGAAAATGAAAGAAAAAATAAACGAATGAAATACGAAGGAAGTGAAGTAGCGAAGGCAGAGAGTTTAAAATAGAAAATAGAGTAAAGGAAACTGGAAGAGACAATAGTAGTTAAGAAATTTTAGAGAAAAATGATGAGAAAAATAAAAGACTTATAATGATTAACATGGTTTCTATCATGTTAACCTTTATAAGTCTATATACAGTATTGTTTCTACAACATACAAGAAGAAGGAAAAACGGAAATTGAGTAAATGTTGAAAGATTTATTTATTATATCTATATCATTTATACAGAAAAAGATAAGAATAGACAGAGATAATGTGTTAAACGAAAGAAAAGACAAAATGCAAAAAAAATATGGAAAAAGAGATTGGGAAATGGTTCGAAGAAAAACTAAGCTAACAAACTGAGAATGAAACGGAAGGAAAGCAGAATGATATATAAAGTAAATACTGAAAAAGAGAAAGAAATCAAACCAAGTTAAAATGCGAAATAGTGATATAGAGAGAATTTTTAAAAAAATAAAAATGTGAAAAAGCGAAAAGAAGAAAGTAAAAAGTGAGTAGGGGAAATGAGGTGATCGGTGGAGAAATGGAATCGTGCAATAGTGATTTAATGATAGTCCGGTAATAGCTAGGGAAGTTATTGAAGGCAGCAGATAGATTATACAGAAAAGGAATGGACAAGAAAATGGCGGAAGAAGACACAGAGCTGTTTTAAGAAATGAGAAATAGAATGATGGTAAAAGATGGCGCAAGCTGGCAAGTGTCAGTCTGTTGGAACGGACCAAAAGAACAAACTACTGTTTATTTTCCACTCATTTTCAAATCATAAATATTCATAGCAGCGATCGGAATGACATTTAAAAAGCATTCTAAAAGCGGTCTGTTCTTTTGTCTCGGAAGAGGTGTGCGGTGATGTTACTGAAAGATTTCTTCCTCCTCGTCTTCTTGCAGTTTGGCAAGCTATTTTTTTTTTTCTTTTCTATTATTTTTGTTTTTTGTTCACTTCTTATGACGTATGGTCGGCTGGTATATGTGATTCTACGAAGAAGCATATTTCTTTGTATGAACGCGGCAATGTTAGTTTAATATCTAAGCATTTGTGTGAGAGTAATGAGTTGTTTAATGTGACATGGATTAATAAGTTAAATAGCAGAGATTGGGACAAATAACAATTCTAATAAAATTACAGATCGCAACCTATTTTATCTATTTCATGTAAAAAATGACAAAACAGATTTCACATAGCCATTCAAGCATATATATATATATATATAAAACACTGAAATATGAGCGATTTATATATATATATATATATATATATATATATATATATATATATATATATATATATATATATATTGGATCAAAATTCAGGTAGGCCACAACTACTAGTTTCATGCGTTTGCATGCAATCGTCAGGCGGACAGTGGTTGTAGTTTGTAGAATGGGTACACTAAAATAACCCGGCGAGTTCAATATGGTGAACAAAACAATATATATATATATATATATATATATATATGTTTCATTAAAAAATGACTGACAAGGTACTGTGGTTAAGGTTTTTATTTAATTTTTAGTTTATTAAAATTTTCGTATTTTCTGAACATAAATTATGTAAAAATTGTTTGAATGTTCTGTATATCCCAGCGCTTTCAGCCAAACTTTTACCTATTATCAGGGATGATTTTATTTTTTACTTTTAGCTGTATTGGGTTGTTTTATGTATGTGTCTCGAGTTATAGGATTTTTTTATTTTCCAAACACGGTTAGTATATTATTTTTAAATTAAAATTTATTCTTTGGCAGGTAGACTACATGAATTTAAGCTCAGTACTAGATTGACAGTTAGGTCTCATCATTTTACTCTTGAAATTGCCAGATATGACCGCAGGTTCTATTCTAATGGTTTCTTCTCTTGCACTCCTCGCCTGTAAAACTGCTTTCCTGACAATTATAATATTCAAAATTTTAAATGCAGCTTCAATCGCCATTTTCTGTTTCATTGAATCCTGTTGTTTTCCTCGATAACGATTTCTTATTTCATTTCACTCTCTGTTAATCCCTTGCGTCTAGATAGCTTTATCGTCTTGCTTTGGTTGAAATGAATAAATTTCTTTTCAAATAATCACATCTCGTGAGTTTGTATGTGTTATCGATATCCATGTTGTGAAATTATTTTTTGTTTGAGTAAAGAAAGTAAAATTATGCATTTATTAGAGATAAACCCTCATATTTTAATATAACGAAATTTCTTACTGTTTAATGCTTAAAGTAATTTTTATCAAGTCCCCATTAAGTGTATAACAATGTATTTACAGAATATATAAAAACCTTTCAATTGAATCCATTGTACCAGGAAAGCTTTCTTTGTTTTGTTTTGTTTTTTTTTGTTTTTTTGTGCATTTTACATAGATTTCTATTTGCTGCTTCTTATGCGTAGAATTGTTTTTATTTCATTCTTAAACAAATGCATTTCCAGTTTCGTGACCACTGCTATTCCGTTGCTGTTGCAAACAAATGTAGATGATATGGTGATAGTTTTTGACAAAACTTGGCCCTACATGCAAGATTATACAGATGAATCCCATTTAGAAATAACTTCAGGTCGAGTAACTCAGTCCGCTCTGACGGTTTCCGATTGGTGTCGGGGGTTCTTAATTTTCTAGATATAGCTCCCAACTCGCCTTGGCTGCCTCATCCTTCAAAGACGGTCTGCTATGACGCTCGCTTTCTACTACTGACGAACAGAGAAGCACAGTGCGTCAGCTCCGAGGGAATTTTTTTAACTGGTTAAGATCAGGCAACTACTACCTAAATTTGTGGTACTAAACGGGATATTGTCTTTCCGCAGTCAGGATCATTGTAAACTTCACGACCCTTTTTGAATTAGCTGCATAGCATGTGCCTCGCCAGAGCGACATACGGTTCTCCTAGACTAGTTGCCACCCCAGACTGAAGATCCCAGTCTGCCCTACTATTTACCCATAGTTCAAAGTTTTAAATTTGAAGTTGTCCTACTCTTCCACTGGTTGCCACACAAGGCTATAGGACCCAGTCTATCCTGTTATTTACCCAAAGTTCATCTTAATTCACCAAAATAACACATGTACATGTTATCACATCCAATCAAACATTTGAGCATGTTGTAACATCAGGATATTATTATTATTATTATTATTATTATTATTATCTGTTGTTTTCTGTTTAGTGCAGTCTTTTACGGAGTCATTACCAGAGATCTGGGGGTAAGGTAATGTAATAAATATATGCATGCTGTTTGCAGAAATTCGGATGTTGAGTGATATACATTATCAACAGTGTTTATAGTTTCTTTGCATTGATAAGACTCTCCAAACCAAATAACCAATTCCACAGTGCTTTTTTTAAAATCTTTTGTAAATAGGAAACAGGAGCTATAACCAGGTTCGCATTTTTTTTATTTCCAAATCTTTATATTTATTAATATTATCGTATTCTCTAAAAAATATTTTTTTATTTGATGCCACTGCCATATCTATGGCACAGTATGTTTTTTTTGTAGTTTTCATTATTATTATTATTATTATTATTATTATTATTATTATTTACCTTTGCATTGTGTTGTATGACTTTCCCCCAAATCTCAACCAGGGAGTTCAAGCCAATTTTTTTTTTTTTTATAATCAGACGCAAATGGATGAAGTGCGATTAAATCATGGAGAAAAATTGAGCATGGAAAGAAATCTACGCAAGAATTAAGAAGTGTCCACGAGTAAGATTTTTTTTACTTTTCACATATTTTGGGGCTGTCAGGAATTTGAACCACATATTTGTTTCCTCCAACAAATTTTAATTTTGGGCCTTGAATGCCACATTCTACTGATTTCTATTTCGAGTTCTTTGTATTTCCTTAGTTTCTCTAACGTTTTCAAAATTATTATTATCATTATTATTATTATTATTATTATTATTATTATTACTACTACTATTACGACGACGACGACGACTATTTCCTTGGATTTCTCGTGTGTACACATTGCCGTACAGGTCCCAACCTAAAGTCGGAAATGGATCATGACATTTTCCACTGATCAAAAAAAAAAGATCACACACATTTTACATAGATAAAGCTCTTCGTAATGTGTGAGCTGTACTTTTGAGTACAATTTTTTTTTATTACTTTAAGACATGGTAAGGCTACCAGGAAAATAATTGTAATTGATAGGGATTATTTTAAAGAGGACTTTTAGTCCATATGAGAGCTCAATGTATGATACAGAGCAAATTAAAATAATAATTAAAAGAAAAAGTTTAAAATCTATTGTCAGTAATAAATTTATTTCGATGAATATAATTCATCTCACCAGACCGACTACATTTTACGAAAAAAATTTAAAGTTTTTTCCTAATTATATATATATATATATATATATATATATATATATATATATATATATATAGAGAGAGAGAGAGAGAGAGAGAGAGAGAGAGAGAGAGAGAAGTTCGCCTATCGTCCAGTTGATACGCCTCAGTTGTCTTTTGAACAGGAATAGAGGTTTATCCCTTGTTCCCTGTTTGGATTGAGTTTCTGATTCCTTTTAAAGTGCTTTCATTCTCTTTCAATCCCAGTAGCCCCTAGCATTTTAGTGGTATTATCGCCTTTTGGGATATATATATATATATATATATATATATATATATATATATATATATATATATATATATATATATATATCCTTCTGTGCGTGTATTTCCAATGAATACGTTTATATTTGTTGTGTGAAAGTTTTTTTTTGTTTTTTTTTTCAAGTTTCTCCCTTCTCGATAAGAGAAATGTACCAAAAATGTTTTCGTGGACATTCCCCAGCTCATATAAAGCAACAGTCGATCGCTGAGAACGCAATGAAAAGCAGGTCACGTGAGAGTCAATATTTCGTCGACACGAAAGAAAACTACTTGATTATTCGAAGACCTACATTTTTTTTTTCTTATTTTACCTTCTCTTTCTTTTCAGCTATAATTCTATTTTTTTTTTATTGGCGTGGTTCTGGACATTCACGTCTATGATTTATTGCTACAGCTACAGTTAATGCAACAAGTGTTGACTGGTCGACGGAAACGGCGAACGATAAAATCGAACTGAAAAAAAAAACATAACATGAAAAGGCAGATAATAAAAAGTTAAGAAAGGAATTAAAAGAAATTCTCTGAGAATATTTTAAACGAAAAATATGTGAAACGCTAAAAACAATATGAAGAATCGATTTTTTTCTTGTTAGCGATCATCCAACAGATTTATTGTTGTTTCGTCTATTAAACTAAAAACCCAACAATAGATATCAAATCTTTCAAGTGAAAAATTGATTTTGCTTTCTCCTAATGATCTTAAGATGTTAAAACTTGAGCGTGCCTTGAGGAACGAAGGATGAAGCGGCTGAAGAATAATGATTTCTCGCGCCGATAAA